AAACAAAGCAAACAAATTACCAGATATAAACACATAAAATCAGTCCAAATTTATGCACTGGGAGAAGGGGCTTGGAAAAGTTAAGCATTAATTATTCCTTACAACAAACCAATAGAAATTAGTACAATTATCTTAGCATATATATTTTCCCCTCCCTCTTTCTTCATTCTTTTCTCCTTTTCCTAGGAGTTTCTTTCCCTTTCACTGTATCTATTGTATCTCTCAGACTTTATCTTCAATCAGATTGTATTTATTTTAATGTTTAGGTCTTTGATCCATTTTGAATTTAGTTTAGTGCATAGTGATAGATATGTGTCTAGAATCAATCTTCTGCTTTCAGGTAATCATTTTTCCCAGCATCATGTATTGAAGAGGATATCTTGCCTCCAGGGAAGGGTTTTGTCGCTTTTGTCAAAGAGAATATCTTCTTCTTTTTGTTGTTGTTGTCCTTCATGCTCCTCCTCCTCCTCCTCCACCTCTTCTTCCTCCTCTTTAACTCCTCCTCCTTTTTCTCCTCTTCTTCCTCTTCTCCTCTTCCTCCTTCCCCTCCTTCTGCTCCTTCTCTACCTTCTCTTCCTTCGTCTTCGTCTCCTGTTTCTCCTTCACCTCCTCCTCCTTTACCTTCTCCTTGTTCATCAGTACCGTGCTGTTTTTCTCACTGTAGCTCTGAAGGACAGCCTGAAGTCTGAGACTGGGATGCTACATAGTAAACTGAAAGCTAGCCTGAATTACAGTGGAAACTATAAAAAAAATCTTGTAACAGCAGGATTATTTTAATATTCCTACTCACGAATTATTTCATTAAAATACTGCTTTCCTTGATTATAAGCCATTTTTCAAAATGTTTTTAGAATAAATCAAGAGTTCACAAGGGTTGGGGTTGCAGCACAGTGGCATAACACTTGTCCAGCATGTGCCAGGCTCTGGACTCAAATCCCAGGGCACAGCCCTCTGAAAAGAACAGTCCCAAGCCCTGTACTCTGTTGTGATAAATTAGAGATACCACACTTACTGTTCTTTGTAACCCATCCTAGCTGTCTTTAATAGCCATTTTCCTGGGCAGATATAGTTTTTATACTTGGAAAAATCACAACATACTGTATTAAGCAAATTAAGTGGAAATTCCTTCACTAAAATAAAACACACTACATTTAGTGGAATATAGATAATGTTATAAATGCCCAGTATTCAAACAACACTCTTAGGATGTTTATCTTTTGAGAGTAAATGTGGCTGCACCTAAATTTTTCAAATTTTAACTCCTGTTCATTACCCTATAGTCATCTCACTCCACCTGCTGATTCAGTCTCCTAAAAATTAATATAAGGTATCTTTAAATTACAGATCCAGAAGACTGAAGTACTAGTTAGTGTATATTAAGTATGCAACCTTATTTCCTTTCTTCTGGAGATAAGGAGGTGAATATCAAGTTGCATGGTATGATTGTTGCTTCCCAAGGAATGCTGTATTTCCTATGAATGGGCAGGGATTTGGATATCTTCCAGCCAGCCTGAAAGAAATATGTAATAGCCAAGAGCTCTTGCAGTAGTGGACACAGATGAGCATGTGGCACTGTCAGCCCTTCTGCAACAACTAAACAGTACTAAACACTTATGTCTTGTACCAGCTGACATAATTGAGAAGAACCTTATGGAAAATGGGAGACTAGTTTAGAAGGTTGTAGATGGCTTCTGTGAACATTGAGCAAAAGGAGCATAGCATCAGGACCATCACTAGCATCTATACTTGTCCTACTTACACCATAAAGCTCTTTGTGTCTCAGAACAGTGGAGCCACACTGCACTTTCAGAGGGACCTCTTAGAACTGTCATAGTAACCTTCAAAGACTTGTATGCTTTCCCACCCTTTGCTCATGGCCTTTTTCTTGCAAGGTCTCATATGCCTGCTCTCATATGATAGTGGAGCTTTTAAAATTAATTTCAGTCTCTGTGCATGTGTTTATTTTTAAATTCTAAGGATGAACTTGGATACTGGGACATCTAAGACTGCTTTAGGAAACAAACAGCCCCTTTGGGGGATCCCGCTGTTGCAGTGTTACACAAATTTAAGTTGAAAAATCAACGGGATAGTTGTGGACAGCTCTGTGACAGGCACAAGCAGGAACCTGATGTGAACTAATACTCAGGTGAAAAACTGAATATTTACATATTTTTTTTCTTCATCTTTTCTCTAGGCATACTCTGTATTTGATGAAGACATTGGGTACTGTCAAGGACAGTCTTTTCTTGCTGCAGTATTGCTGTTGCATGTAAGTAATTTTCCATGTAATAAATAACACAGTGCTACCAAATTTATTTTTTTACTTGTTTTTTATTTCATTTTGATTTTCTATTTATCTGATGAAGATTACACGTGACATATCTCTTTAAAAATGTACCTTGGAGGCCCCAAATTTGAAGACCCAATCCAGAAATGGGCATCTGAGATGAACACATGCTTCTCAGAGGAAGAAATTAAAGAAGCGAATAAGTATATGAAAAATTGCTCCACATCACTAGCCATCCGCGAAATGCAAATTAAAACAACATTGAGATATCATCCCACCCCAGAAAGAATGGCTATCATAAAGAAATCACCCAACAACAAATGTTGGAGAGGCTGTGGGGAAAAAGGAACCCTTCTCCATTGCTGGTGGGAATGTAGACTGGTGCAACCATTATGGAAATCAGTGTGGAGACTCCTTAGAAAAGTTGGACTGGAAATCCCATTTCGACTAGCTTTTTCTCTACAGGGAATTTTCCCAGAGGATCTGAAAACATCATATCATAGTGATATATGTGTGCCTATGTTTATAGCAGCACAATTTGTGATAGCCAAATCTTGGAAACAACCAAGATGCCCATCACCCGAGGAATGGTTGAGAAAGATGTGGTATTTTTACACAATGGAGTATTATTCAGCTATTAAGAATGATAAACTGCAAGCCTTTATATTGAAGTGGATGCCACTTGAACATATACTCATAAGAGAAATAACCCAGACACACATGTGCAAATATTGTATAGTTTCCCTAGTATAAGAACTCAAAAGAAGAAATACAAATAGTAAGGTATAATACAAGTAAAAGGAAAGCAGGATCTCAAGGACTAACTAATCAAGAGAGGGAAAGGAGAAGAGCTAGGAAACATGACAATGTCAAGCCATACAGTTATATATAGAAGATGAGCAAGGCAATGATCCTGAAAATCTTCAGAAGATTTTTAATCTAGCAGTTAATTGGAAAGACTCTCACCCTGACTGACTATATATACTGATACCTGTGAACTAAGCTACTGCACTGCAGATGGTAATTTGTAATAATAGTTTCATGCTTGGAGTGTCTGTCATTCTGGTATTCTGAATATGGGCTACTTGTCATGACATGCCAGTTGCTGCTATGATGTCTCTCGGGTAGGTGGATGTTCAAGAAGAAGGGGGTGGTGAAGAGACAGGAAAAGGAATATTGTGGGACTGTCCTGCTTCAAGGTTGTATATGGTGAGATTTTTGGACTTATGTGTAAACATAAGAAGTATATAATTCTTTATGCCTATTTTTAAAATATATTCTAATTTTTAAATGTTTTTTTATCATATTCTGTAGGGACTTAAAGTTCAACATATCAATACTTGAGGAAAAATACCTGTTCCATATTATGCCTAAGATGTTTGATATGCAGACAGATAGTGAGGTTAAGCTTAACAGCCTAAGTTGTATGGTAATAACAATAAGCTTGTCTTCTGGATGGTTAACAAGCTAAGTTTGCAGACCAAAATTAGAGAAAAAGGAAGGCTGCAAGAAAAGCCAACATTTTGGCCCTAGCCTTCTAAGGTCAATTAAGACTCAGGACATATGAGAACTTGTACTGTTACATCATGTAACTCAGTAGTGTCCAAAATTTTCTGATCAAGGAGATTATGGGGCCAAAGAGGAAAGTGATCGATGATGTAGAGTGTGCCTAAGGAGAGTCACATGGAGAGAAAACATTCTCTCAGGCTTTCACAGAGAGCACATTGGCCAAGCAATGGCCATGACTCATCCACATGGCTGACACTGACAAAGGTTCTACAATCTGAGGTACAGGATTTCAGGATAAATCCTGAGGAGATTTCACTGACCTTATCAGACCCAAAAGCTACAACTCTTGTTGCATAGGTCCTGCTTTACCTTGGTCTTAACTACCCAGCAGAAAAGTATAAAAATGAAATATAAGAAGTAAAGCCATGCTGTTATGTTGAGCTGTAGGGGACTCAGGTCAACAATTTCTGACTTTGCCAGCCAAGCGGAAGACCCAATACTATTATGGGCTACTGGACTCTTTTAGATTATTTTGCTGAGTTTACACACCTATAATATTCAAATAACGGAACTTAACAAAAAAAGGGTATACAGATGAATGTCCATTTTGTATCTGTGTGTTCAAAGTGGTTAGGATAGATATATAGTTACATTCTCTTAATGAATAGAGTGATTTGTTCTAACGATGTTTGTAGATAGGATATCATGTCTGCATCTTGTACAGCAATTAACCACTGGGAGGAATATATGCAATGTGTTAATTATTGAAATTGTCCTACCAATTTGATTTGAAACTGTCTCATTGCTGTTTGTTTATCAATAAAATTATGGAGAAAATAAAAATTAAATAAATAAATAAATAAATAAATTGACTCTAAAAAAAATGTACCTTGGGTGATAAAGAGATCTACCTCCAATAGCAGGACAGTTTTTAAAGAGAATTAATTTTGCTTGTTAAATACGAACAAATTGATTATTTGAAGTTATTTTAAATTGGTACTCTCTAGAACAAAGAAGTCAGAGTAACTGCCCAAGTATCTTGAACTACTTTGAACTACTCTACTTTGGAAAGGAAGTCTTATTTTTTCTGTGATTTATTTCTGTATACTGTCTTCCTCTCTGCCATTAACAGGACATTTATTGAGTATCAGTTGCTAGATACAGGGTTAGGAAGTGGAATTACAAGATAGATCAGTTATAATCTGTCTTTTGAAACATCTTACAGCCTCATAGGGTAAAGATAACGTATGTATAAACTTTTTTTTTCTGAAATATTGATTCTTCTGATAAAACATAACACATGCTCGCTAGAAGACTTATTGTGTGTTATGTCAAGGTGAAATATAAAGTAAGAAAATAGACAGCAGTACTCCTTAGAAAAATTTTTCCATAATTTTCAGAAAAAAATCCGTCTTTATAGAAGGCCTAAATAGGCAAGACAGAGATAATTAAGGTTGGGAAGGCAAGAGGAGAAATAGAGAGCAGAAAATTCTAGACAGGAGGAAAAAGAACAAAAGTGTAGAAACAAAAGAGCAGTATATACAAGGGGGTATAATATGTAGTCACAGTTTACTAAAGGAATTATATGCAGGAAGTGCTGTGAGGTAAAAATAGTGAGATAGGCAGGGACTGAATTATGAAGACTGTGTAATCAAGTAAAAAATGTAGGCTTACTTTGAAAGCTAATGAGTCATAGATTGGTTTGAAGCAAGGGGATGATATAGTTAGACATTCATTTCACAAAAATTCTTGTTACACTCGTTTAGCAGGTGGAATTGAAGAGAACAGACAGAACTAGGGAGACAAGTTAGAAAATGTCAGTCTGAATGAGAGATGTTGGGACCCAGAGAAAATAAGCAGAATTAAAGAACATTCTGGAGGCAAAATTAATATATATTTTTAGATGGATTGGCAAAGGAAAGGTCAAAGGCATATCTATTTTTCTGTTTATGGTGACTGAATGACTGATATTTTGAGCAGAAGCAGAAAATATGTCTATTGAGACTGAGTAGAGAAATAAGTTCAGGAGTTGGTGATCAATTTTGCTTTGAATTGTTTTAGTTTGGGAAATTTTGAGACCTCTGAGAAGAACATTCAGAAATGCTAGTGAAGACTGATTGATGCTGGAGGAGAAATCAAAGCTGAAATCGTAAGAGTAAAATAGACAGACTGAGAAGAGTGGTGTAAAACCCCAGAACCCAAAACATCTAAATGGCTGATGAGGAAGTAGAATCCTCAAGGAAATTCAGATTTTTAATAGGGAGAAAGCACTGCATATTGTCAAATGCAGCAGGAAGCTGAAGTGAGTTAAAAGCTAAAGCATTTCCTTTGAGTTTGGCATTATGAAAATAAAAAAAAAACTTTATAGTAGATTCATTGTCCTAATTCTGATAACCTGATTCAAATAAGAGTGACACTCAGTGTTTCTATTGTGACTGTTTATTTCATGTCAGTTTGGGATTGATTTTTCTTGTCTTTGGCATTATCTATTAATTATTGTCTATATCTTCTCTCTGATATATTTCTTTCCTTGGTATTTCTACATCCCATTTTCTTTAGACTCCCTAATTAAGCTTTTTACATTTACAAATTTTCAGGGGCCTATTTTCTGCCTTTAAAGCCACCTAACCTTTGAATGTAAGGTCATGATCTCAGAAGAACTGTATCCTGTAAGCAGTGACATGAATATAGTCTTCAAGTTCAGAGACATCTTTTTTCTAAACAAAATGTTTATAATCACTTTAAAGAGAACTTGGTGCTATCGCTTTACATTGAACAAACTAATCTTTGAATATGCTGTATTTTGCTACATTTAACCTATATTCTTTGTTTTTGTTTTGTTTTTGAGATAGGTTCTTACTGTGTAGAACCTTGAACTTACTATATAGCCTAGGTTGACGACCTTGAAATTGTAGTGATCCTCCTGCCTCAACCTCCTGAGTGCTGGGATTATAGGTGGGCATCACCATGCCTGGCTTGACCTATACTCATATTTAAAACATTATAATGAATTGATTAAAGGTAAATGAGAAGGGTCTGTTTTGGGATTTCTGAGAGGCTTAATTTTGAGTTTGTAATTATACTTATAAACACATCCTGCACTTATAAGGAAAGAAAAAAATGAGTCAAATAACTAGAAAACTCAAATACCTAGAATTTTTTCTGCATTATCAACTCTACTATAATAAAAGCCATATGACAACTTTGACTTTGTGAACTTATACAGTAAAACAGCCCCCAAAATATGTCACAAGACAGACAAAAATTCAGTCTAGCCTCTTACTTTCAACATTAGTAAAATTATTCGATTGTCATGCTTATAAAAATAATTTGAAATATAGAAATGCTTTTAGAATCCTTATGAAAAGATTAACATCTGATACTCAGCATAATGTTAATGAAAAGCATAGGCTCATTTTTAATTGGCATTGTGTGTGACTATTCTGTTCATCAGTGTATTCCATTAACTGTCC